GTTTTAGGTCAAATTAAACATGAAGTTGCGCGATCGTTCCGGCTTGCGTGGAACGTTTCCTTCACAAGAGATTCACAACGAATCATGGATTGAACCGCGCATGCGTTTTACTTTGTGGTGCTGTACGGTATCTGAACGTTTAATTTTATATCACTATCAGAATGAATATATACTGCAAGGTCAGAAATATTAATAGAAAGGAGACAGCTGCATCTTCATCTCCGCGTTCACCAAATGCAGATGTGAACAATTTAACGAGTGTTATGTAGCATTATACGGACACCAGTTAATTGAATCGTATGGAACAATGGGACATGATATTAAAATAATGGTTTGATTTGCTCGCTTGTTTCACTAGTTCGCGGTACATTCACGAATTCAGCTAATTAAAACAGTCATACTCATTACATGCTCTATCACAGAATAATCTTTCGTTAATGTACAATTGATTGTGACGTTAACCCACATGGGGAATTCGTGCATTGCTGGAAATTTAATGCGTGTTGCATGGCGTTATGCGTCATCGTTGATACACATCACTACTTTTCTCTCCCCTTGCTACGTTGCCTGCGGTTTACCGCATTGAATGATGATATTAATTAATTGTGGGAATATTAGTATTACCCAAACGTAGACGTGCTCAATTTGTTAAACAAAAGTGGAATCGAGTGCAATAATACTTGTCAGAATATTGTATTACTCGTACAAAACACTCGTATTAAGCTACACATGAATATGAAATTTAATAACTTAATAACAGATTTTACGTTTTGTACATCTTTGGGAAACAACATTGAAATAAGTTAAGAATTAAGTAACAAGTCAAATTCAATAATATTATATAAAAGTTTTATAACTTTTTGTGTAAACAATAAGTTAATCTAAACAGATATGTGAATACATCAAATAAGTAAGGAAAAGGTCAAGACATTCGGTCTCGATCTAGAGATTTAAAGACTTGATGTTTAATAATATTTTTTAGTGTGTCCGATGAATACAAAAATTTGTAATTGAGCTCCAAATTGTATTTATTCAAAATTTTCACATTAAAAAAAATGTAATCATATATTCATTCAAAATTTTGGGTTTTCAAAAAATGTTTATTCATATATAAAAAAACTACGAATATTTAACGAGTATTATAAAATATTCATATTCATTCAAACAAAATATAAACTGATAAAGAAAGCTCCAATAAGCAGTAGTTACCCTTTAACCGTTTGATAACTTTAAGTAAAAAAATGAATTTTATTTATTTTTGTCATTGTAATATTCAGATTTTATGAAGGAAATTTAGAAATTTTGAAAAATATTTTAGAAAACAATACGTTTTTTATTTATAAATATTTATTTGATAGAGCGTCATACATATTCCGATAGAATTCCGGTTACATTATAGTAATGTTATAAACATTTTATAAAATATCTTATATAAGATATCTCGTTCATTATGGTCTGTAAACATTAAATTCCGAGATATATTATTTATTCCCAATAAAAATGTCTTTGCTTAATCTATAGGTTTTTAGGAATCAATTTGTGAGATTCGCCGAAATGAAAGAATTACGATGTTCGATGATCCTGTCGACTCGAACTATGGTTGACCGCGGTGTTTCGTCCCGGTCCCCACTGAACTTATCAGTAAGGCGATGCAATGGGACCTGCCTTAGACGCTCGAAAATTTTAGATTGAGATCCTGTTTAAAAGGAATTCGTGTGGCTGTGGTACTCACAAGAATCCGCGCGAGTCTTCGCTAGACCTCTGGTAACGAGTCGCCACAGGTTAAACAAGGATGTCCATCGTATAGGTCGCGGTCTAAGCGCATGGTGTATTCATAGTCATTGTTTTTATAGATTTCTGTTTTCACTTGCAGGCTTCGCAAGCTACGTGCAGATAATACAGAGTAAAAGTGAATACGAAACAAAAATATTCGTAATCATTAAAAAAATATTCATTCAAATGGAATGAAAAAGTACACTGAAAAAAAAGATTGGCTG